TTTTTTTAAATTTATTTTTTTGTTTAGACTTTTTATTGTAATTTTTAAATTTTATCAAAAAACATTTTTGTTTAATTACTTTGTTTTTTATAGCACAAGCATTTCTTCCTAAATGTTTTTTTGCATTGCAATTAGGTTTTCAAATTTGTTATTTATTTATAAATTGAATAAATTATTTTTATTTTTACTTACATTTATTTAACTTTAAAAATCTGAACCACCTCCAAGCGGCCTCGAATCTGCGATTTCAGAACCAGAACCAGTAGTCTTCACGTGACGCCACAGCCGAGATTTGTAAGAAAAGCAATTAATAGCGTTTTATTTTTGGCTTTGGCAATTCAAAGGCAGATGTCGCTGATCGCCTAAGTCCTTCGAAATTGTCGAACTGGTAGGCACATACTAGTTAATGAACTAGTATTTTTTCTGACTGGTTTGGCTTTTCACAGCAGGGTATGCATACCATGGTGTACAAACCACATGTCTGTCAGGGCTATTAGAGGAAAAAAGCTGTATAGCTCTGTTTGTGTGGGCGATGCTCCGTTGAGAATAATCTCCGACTCGGCACCAGGGTTACCACTAAAAAACTTTCTTTCCTACCATGAGCTGGTTCAAAAACCTACCAATATGGCTTCTTTCCTACCATTTCTTTTAATCAAGGAGACGGCGTTTGACAGCATTAAATACATTAATTTTTGCTGGTTTTTATACCTAAAATAAGATTTCCAGTTAACAAAAAGATCAGAATAATAGCTATTACATACATATAGCACACAAAAAAAGTGGTGTGTGCTTTAACCAGACCCACCTACCGACATGTATTTCGACCCGCTGAATCCGAATCTGAGGTCAAAATTTCGAGTAAATTGCGAAAAACCGAATAAATGGCAAAAAGTTCACATAGTTTATAGTTTTAATAAAGCCTTCGGAGTAAATAGCGTGAATTATCGTAGCGGAAAATAAAATTCCGTCGTAGATTTTGTATATATCGCTCATTTGCATACATATATTATGAAGTACATATATATATATCGCTACCTAAAGGTGCAAAGGTGCTAATTCCACTTTTTTTTCTCAAAATTTAGCTTTTGATGCAGAATGACAGATGATGCGAAACTACATAGATTTTTCGTCTCTCCTGAACAGTTTCAGAAAATTGACTTGGCGCCTATTCACCTTTAGTTAACGATATACATACATATATGTACATAAGTAAGGTAAAATAAACCTCACGGTTAGGCTTGCCAAATGTCCAGGTCTATGAGCCTCCGTGGATTTGACATTAATTTCTTCGAGTTCAAGATTCTCCGATTTACGGGAAATATGACTACCAATAAGTGGCCTTCTTTTTTGAAACTATCTTCTGGTGTCATTTAAAATATTTTAACAACATTGTCATTGTTGAAACTATTATCGATTCGCAACTGCATTTAAAAAAAAATTTTCTGAAAAACCTACCTTTGCATCCATCAGTTCAGTCACTTGATATCCCTTTTGATACGCAGTGGATACAACTTTTTATAGCGTACACAGAGTTCAGAGAATTGCCGAAAGTATGCAATTGATAAAATTATGCCTATACCAGTAAGTAACGAGTTTTTTAAAAGGTCCCATCCAAGAAACAGCATGAGGGTAAAACTGATATTGCCAAAATTTGGCAAGCCTACCCACAGTGCTGACAAAGTGACACATTACAACAAGCCAGACATGTTTTCTGTTTTATGAGAAAAGAAACCTACCAAAATTTTAAGCGTCCTACCATCCTACCAACGAAAACAAAACCTACCTATTTTGGTAGGAAAAGCCCAAAACGGCAACTCCGCTCGGCACGCTTGGGTGGACAATAAAAGCTGTGGCGCAAACGATGAAAATAGAAGGAAGACAACGATAGTTTGATTAATTTGAGTGGCGATTCATCCCCGAAAGTTACTTGCACATTTTGCTCACCTCAATCCATGCTCTCACACAAAGCGCCGGACAAAGTTGTCATATTACCGGTTGCTGGCCAGAGCTAAGCAAAGGCCTCTTCTCGAACAGANAAAAATAGAAAATAAAAAAACTTTCCCTGTGCCAGGATTTGAACCTGGGACCTCAGGCTTACCACGCGAGTGCTTTGCTCTGTCGGCCATTGTGACTGCTGGAGCGTCGCAAGCAAAAAAGCACACTTATTCTTTTCACGGGGCATGAATTGGCAGACCATCTCATCAACTGATATGATGCTACTAGTATTTATACTAGTAGATGCTGATGCATAGCCTGCCAATTGACATCTCGTAGGACATCGCAATGATAAAAATACCAGTCGCTAACATTGAAAAAGGATAGAACGTGAACCAGTTCGGCTGAAACGCAAACCGGTAGAATTCTAGTTCACAACTAGTAGCTTTCCCTGCAGGGGTGCTTCGGATGCCGGATGACCTACCGAGTTAGTAAGCTTTATCTGGGACCAGCGGTCCTCCGCCGGAGCGGACGACCCATTTTCTCCAAAACTCGAGGGGCTCATTAGACTAGCCAATACTGATTTTGGCGGGGCAAATATTAAAGCTGTTTTTGATAGACTTTTGGCGCTGAATAAGAATCTATAGGCATAAAGTTTCTATCAGCTCCAGATTTAGAGAAATATGCTAGAAAAAAATTTTTGAATGTGCGTTTTTTGTCAATTTCTAGAGAAGAGCAGGTCTAAGGCACTCCGTACATTAAGCTCCTAATCATAGTAGTGTAATCGTTTCGGCTTACTAAAGTACAAAGCTTTTATGCCGAACCCATGTATTTCAATGAAGCTCTGTACATTACGATTCAAAATCATGTTTTCGCCTAATCGTTAAAGCATCATGAATCGAAGCGCCCAACTTTGTAAGGCGCTTGGAGTTTTAAAATCGTCATTTGTTTACTTTATTGTGTTGGAAATAAAATTTATTTGTCAATTCAATAGAAAATAATTGAAAATGAATGATTTCGTGCTGAAATTAGTGCAAATTGTATTAAACCACAAGCGTTTATACAATATTTCGGAGCAGAAATATTTGCGGAAGTGCGTAGTTGCGAAAGAACGGCCAGAAAATTTGTTATGTGTAGAAAGTGTTTATTAGCTGGTGACTTATGCACGGCGTACAAGTGTACAGAAGTCGAGTCGTCATGCATTCGTTTCGGTATGATGAAACGATTACTCTACTTTGATTAGGCACGTAATGTGCCGAGTGCCTTAAACATAATCTTGGCATTAGCAGAATTTTACATACACCCCAAAAATTTTAAGTTATTTATGATAAAATGAAACCGACTCTGATAATCTTACGTGCGTTGGAAAGCGAAAGTTTGTATCTTTCCACTGCTTTTAGGAAATGTATGCTTAGTTGATAACCATTGACTCCGCGAACTAAAAACCTTGAGAAAAATCGGAAAGAAGTGGTTATGGTAACTCTGGGTTAAAATCACAACCTACACTTGTATTAAACCCATATCTTGTGCCTTATCTGAAGCAAACTTGATGTTCGCCTCTTTAAAAAGAACTTTTTCAGGCTATAATCTTACAAAAAAACTCTGAGCAATGAAGACTTTTTCGATTTCGAAAAACCCAAAAAATTCAAATGGGGAGGAGGCGTATAAAAAATCGTTAGTGTTGAAAACTGTAAAATAAGCAGTTAAGTATTATTACTCAAACTGTCCTAAAGAGAAACATAAGTTTTCGATTGAAAAAATTGATTTTCGAGAGTTCTATACCCTTTCTACGAAAAAGTATATTCGCCATATAAAATACCTGGAAAATTTCATGTGCTTTGAGGCAGTTATAAATATGTATATATATGTATATATATATTGTTTTTGTTAATTACGCGTATTTTTTATTCCATTTAGAAAAACTCTAGGGGCGAGAGCTTAACGTTTCAAACTTTTTTGGGTTACCCTAACGTACATGCATTAGCTGCTCGTTCACCCAATTAGTTTTGTATTTGTATAAGTGAAATGCGAATGTGAAGAGAATCGGAATCCGAAGGCAAATACGGAGATGAATTCGAAGGCAAATACAAATACTAATGAGGATACATTTCGAAAAGGAATACGAAGACAGCGACTAAAATGAGGACTAAAAAACCTTCGGGACCCTAGAAAAGCGACCGAATTTCAGCAGTAACTGGCACTCTTTGTATGAATAGTAGATTAGAAAAAAGAAAAGAATTCTCATGAATTAAACCCGAGTAATAAGAGTACCAGCTAGTATAAAATCAAGTAAAATTTATCGAAGAAAATCTCCAAGATTTACATACATATGTTGCTCGTAATTTTATTTATTTTTGGTAAAAACTATATGCAGATATGTTCACGCATACGTGTTGACACTGTATCCTTGTTTTTCTGTCATTTCGTCTTAAATAAGCTTTTAAAAATAAATCTTTAATTGAATCACCTCTGAATGATAAATTATTTAACGCAAATCAATAAGTAAATAATGGCTTAGTCAATTGATTTAATATCAAGTGTATAATAAAGTTTTGTAATAAAATAAGTTCACATAAAGCTGACGAACAAAACATAAATCGATGTCAAGCTTCAATTTAAATCAATGTTTTGGTAGCTGCTGTTTAACACACGTTTTTAATAACGCTATCCACATAAAGAAGACCGAAGCTTGCTCAGACGTAGCTTAAAGTGCAGTTTCTACTTGTTTGTCGTCAAGCTAAATTTATGACCTACGCGTTGACAAGTGGAGCAAAGCGCTAAGTTTTGCTTTTTTTCGGCACATCAAACCAAATTAAAATTCGATATGCCGATTAGACTCTTTGCCCAGCCCAGCTACATCAAGCACATTAATTCGGTACACATAAAATAATTCAGCCATAAATAATATAAACTAATGCATTTTTGTGGCATCATCATGGATTCCGTATAAAAGATGGTCCAATGATAGCAGCAAATCATTCCAATCTGGACTATTTCAGAGTCTTATTAGAAAAGACCAAAGCGCATTAAATAAAATCAAAACAGTTTATAAAAACGACTAAGAAATGCGTGGTTTCATCGTCCTTTGTTTGATCGGAGTTGTTTGTGCAGATAAATTGGGTTACAACTATCGCCCCGTAGGCCACTCAGATGCTGGACTTTCTTTCACTCCTGGTACTGGCAGCGGTGGATCAGGTGCTGTTGGTGAACATAGCGATATTGGAGGCTTAGGTGGCAACGGTGGCAGTGGACCTGCAGGATCTGGCCTTTCACAACAAGCCCCAGTTGCTGAATATGAGAAGGAGTTCTTCACTTACACTGCCGACGAGAATGACTTTAGTGAACCTGCTGGAAATGATCAAGTAGTCGAATCGCTAAAAAAGAATCTTCGAGTTATTTTCATTAAGGGTCCTGAAGGCAATGGCCTGGAAAAAGCAGCTGTGAACTTGGCCAGGTCCATTTCTGAAGAGAGAACCGCCATCTACGTACTGCAGAAACAAGCTGATCTCGGTGGTCTTGCCAACCAATTGCAGGCACAAAACGATATTCAGCGCAGCAAACCGGAGGTTCACTTCATTAAATATCGTACTCCTGAGGACGCGGCCAACGCTCAACGTGCCATTCAATCCCAGTATGACCAGCTTGCAGGAAAATCTCAGTCACATGATGGTGGTGCCGCGCCAGTTCACAATTTTGCATCCCCCGCAGCTCAGCCTGCTCCACGTCCTGTCAGTGCTCCAGGTGCTGCTTATCTGCCATCTTCGATTTTCCGTGCATAAATTATATAAAAAGTGAGAAAAAATAAATTTATTTTGGCGATAAATATTACTTAGTGATAGCTGTACATATTTATGTATGTATATAGACTGAAAATTTGTTGTTAAAGTTGTCGTTTGTTTTTGACGATTAGTAAATGCGAAATTAAAAAGAAATATGTATATTTAAATTGTTAAATTGATTACTCAGTTAATGATATTGAATGAACTTTTCCCACCATGCCATATAAAACGTGTAAAAATATTTACCTTAACCGGGATACCCTGCGATTCGGCGGTACAAAATTCGCAATGTTTGGTTTATTCGGCGCATAAGTGTGGAGCTACGCAAGGGAAGTAAAATCATATGTTCGCAGTCTCAGGGCAGTCTACCGGCTATGTGCGCTAATTGATCTCTCGCCTGTACGGCGAAGTGAACTTCCATTTAACCCAGATAATCACGAGGAGCTTGACCATTGCGAAACGTATGGTGATGGCACTATCGAAAACGACGAACATGTTTTGTTCCACTGCCCGAAATTCGATCTGGATAGAAACCACATTCGCTCAGTGTTTGGGAAAGCCCCAACCCTGAAAACATAGTAGTTCATATGATAGAATCCACTGAAAAATGGGAAGCAGTGAACAATGCATATTTTGACTCAACTGAGAAGAGGTGAGCGGCTTCGAAATGGACGACACACAACCACGCCCAGATAGTGTTGTTCCGATACAAGTAACTACGAGTAAATACTTGATACTTTCTTCAAGTACTGAGTACTTTTTTTACTCCAATCTTTCCCACAAGTACTTAGTTGGGTATCGAGTACGCGGTTAGAGTATTTACTTGCTTTTCCACCTATTCAGAATTTTGGTTGTGACATAGTGTGCTATCCGTACTAGTAAAATTTTCACATTTTTCAAGATTTACGGCCATTCTTTCGGTCGGTTTTGGCCGAAATTACTCGATCAAACTTATGGCTACTCTTTTAGTAAGTTTCCATCGGAAAGTACTCGAATTGCTTATTTTTTTCTTCCCATGATATAGCATTGCCGCGGCGGCAGATAACGCAACTTTCTTATTAAACTTATGAAACTGTTTTAATAAATAGGTATCGAGTACATGACAGTATCGGAACAACACTACGCGCAGATTAAATATCTACCACCAGGCGCGATATTTGTCGGGCTACTAGCTGCTGAGGCAAGAAGAATATGCAAGAGGTAAGAGGCGTTACGTAATAGGCGGACGCAACATAGGACAGCTCCAAGTTGATGCAACTTTCAAATAAACTGCATCAGGACTGCAACAAAGGACTGAAGCTTCGTGCTCAACCAACCTCCCAACGAATTACTTGACGGTGGTACCGGGAGGGGAACGGTACATGACGGTAGGAGGTTTAGTTTGGTTTTAAGTCTCACACTGACGGGGTTAGGCTTTCAATGCTTTCTGCTCATACATATGCATGAATGTACAAATGCTGAGGAGCTCAGGCTGAACATCAAGAAAATCGAAAATTTTTTAAACAAGCCATCCGTGACAGCAATCGCAACATCGAGCCGTAACCGCCAAAATAACGTAAGCGACATTTTTTTCAAAATTTTCTTTTTGATGCAGAAATATTCCTAGAGCATCTAGATACATTTCTGCATCAAAAAGAAAATTTTTAAAAAAATGTCGCTTACCTTTATTTTGGCGGTTAGGGCTCGACATGTTTAAAGAGCTATGCGATGATATCAATAATAACCCATGGGCTCTGCGTATTTCGTTTCATCCATATATCGATGGCTGAGTGGAAGATCGACCTATCTCGGCAGCCAGTTCGAAAACGCTCTATCTCAAAAAACTTTTCAAGAACGCTCTATTTCAGAATTTAATTGAAAATTCTGTTCAAAAACGCCCTATCTCACTTCAAAATGTATTGCAAATATGCTGATATAGGGCGTTTTTGAACAGAATTTTCAATTAAATTCTGAAATAGAGCGTTCTTGAAAAGTTTTTTGAGATAGAGCGTTTTCGAACTGGCTGCCGAGATAGGTCGATCTTCCACTCAGCCATCGATATGTAATACTTCTATATTGGCAGTAAGCTAAGTTCTCAATGTGTAAACATTCCGAAATCAAAACGAGACAGTCTAATACCGTTTTTGTGTAGGTATTGTGTACATGGGCGTAGCCAGGTAGGGGTATATATTCAAAAATTTTACCAGGAAATGCTATCTCGATAAATTCCCCATTCCATTTAAGAAGGGTAAAAACCTAGCTGTAGTCGACAATGAGCGAAAATGGATTGAATGGTAAACTAACAATTAGCCACGTAGTCTATGGCTTTGGGGATTGCGAATACCTCAGCCTGGAAAGCATATTTCCCAAAAGAAAAAGTAAAGCTTATCCCCATTAACTTTGAAAAAATACTCCAGATCCTTACTCTGACTCAGTTTTGGAGCCATCAGTGAAGATTCGACAATGTGCGCGTGCGGGCTCAGTGCTGGAATTAAACCAGCGTTCGGGAATCTTCTCTCTGTAGAATATCTTCAACAAAGGTAATGGTGGCGTGCTATCCTGTAGCATTGAAAATACACAAGTGCTCAAATATCTTCCGCCGGCAATCTCCGCATCGCCTCACTCAGTGTTATACCAACATCCGTTTCCCTTTAGTTTGTAGGTGGCCTTTAAGGTTTTCCCACGTATGATGATACAAAGTGACGGTAAGTTCACCACTGCGTCAAGAGCACTATACATTAAAGTTAAATAAATAGGTTATCAAGCAACCATTTTGGTTCTTTACTATCGAGACCAGATACATTTTCGTGGACCCCCACTTACAACTCCTGGACCCCCACATTTTTTCACGCCAACGTAGGCTTTTGTCGAGTCTCCCGTGGACCCCTGTGGGTCCACCTGGACCACTTTGGGAATCACTGTAGTATACGTAAAATTTTATTTTTTTATAATTTATTTTTTTTTGTCCAGAATAACGTGTTTTCCGGCTATTTGGTATACACGTATGTAGAGCTATGAATTTAAAAAATGCATTAGGTTTTAGTTGAGACCACTATGTTCTGTAAATTTCCCAATACTGCAAAGCTTTTGCCATTCTCTTGGGAGTGGCCAAAAGTGAATTGTTTGCTTACGGTTCAAATCGCAGGCTCAATTCGTCCGGATAATAATATTTACATATCCCCTGGGTAGCGACCAAACACCCTTTTGGGAGCGAGCTAATGTGACGAGACGTATAACTCCACGTGCGCTTGGCTTGGGTCCCTGCACGTTAAAACACTACCCAATGAAAGAAGCCATGCCTCGGATGAATAAATGTCTTCGGGAAAATAAAGACTGACATCACCGCCATCCATGAAATGCGATGAACGCGGTAAGGCAAGGTATGCGTGGCCGATTTGTCTCATTGTACGATTTGGCTCTTATTCGAGATATAAATATGTATATTGGTAAAGGTAGGGACAATATCTACTATTGCACAAAAAGTGCTGCAAGGTGGCGCTGGAGTCGAGTTATTGGTAAAAATCGTCAAGTGAAGTCAATCGGAGATACCAAGGATCAAATTTAAATAACCACCGTTAAATCAATCACCAGAACGATTACGGTCCTTGCTTTACGGCGACTAAACAGAATAAAGACAATTCTTGATAAATGCCTTCAAATACATTTGTAACACTTCTAGGGTATTTCGTCTGAAATAAGTCTACGTATATTGGATTTCTGTGAACTAATGATGCTCACCCATTTTGAAATTGCCACAAGGACGATTCACCATCGGGCCAGATAATTGTTGTCACAAGAATTTCTTCACGGACATAACGATTTCATTAGGTTATTTAAAACGACAATGGAGGATATGCCTTCTGCCGACAACAAAACCAAACGTGAACGTGAACTGTTGGTAAAAACGTTGGACAAAATGTTTAAATAAAAAATTAATTTTGGGCGGGACGAAGTCTGCCGGGTCTGCTAGTAATAACATAAGTACCGACTTGTTTTTTTTTTTTAACTCGTAACTTGAATTCCGGTTCTGCTTAGATACAAAAATTTAAAACCAAAGGCTGGTCTCTACGGGAAAGCATTGGTGTTATGGAGTAACTAACTCAAATGGAGGATCAAAAATATTTGAAAACAATTAAATTCAGTCTTGAAAAGAAATTGAGGATTCATATCTTAGTGTAATATAGTCCGCATTATTTTTAATAATAGTAAAAAGAGAAAACTAAATCAATGCATTAACACTACTGGAAATATGACATTTCGAACTCCGTCCAATCCTTGAAATAAAACGAATAAAAAACAAAACATTTAACTGTACTTAGATTTTTGGTTCTTTTTCGAGCACATTTGGAAGCATGTTTATTTACTAATATTTTAATGTTTATCTAAGCGATTAAATTTGCCTTTTTCCTGCTTATTTTCTTCGGTCCTGCTCATCACACATCACAAGGTTAAACAGAAAACAAATCAGCTGCCCTTGATAGTAGTTGGATGAATAAGGAAAATGAATTAGCAACAAGAGTTTACGGAATGTACGTAGCTCAGTGGTTAACGCTTCTGACTTTGAACATCGATTACGCAGGTTCGATCCCTGCTGAAGTCTAGAAAAAAGAAGTCTGAGGAGGAGATGTGGTGATCTCCGAAATAGCTGCTATAACTTCTACCGCTTAGACTTTGTTGCTTTTTCAATTTTTCCTAATAAACAATCGTGGTACAAAGCTCAATAAAAAATATTAAAAACAGAAATTAAGTTATGAACAATTATAAGGCTCAAACTAAGAAAACACGTTTTTATACCTTAAGTCCAGATTGGGAGGGGGTATTCAAAATTCTAAGTATGCATACATTTTGTGCATCAATTGCGGTATTCACTACGGTGTCGTAAGTGTCGTATTGTTGTATGTCGTAAACTTTAAACGCCTAAAAATATATTAATGGGGTTCGCAAAGTACCATCAAAGTCATATTATGAATTTTCGCAGTGTTACAAAATAGTTGGTTGTGGTTTCAAGTTCTCTAAACATT